AGACAGGGACACGGGGACAGGGACACATGGGTAGGGACATGAGGACAGGGACACAGGGACGGGGACAGAGAGACAGGGAAACACGGACAGGGACACACGGGGACCCATGGACGGATGGACACAGCGGGATGGACACGCAGGGACGGACGGACGGACAGACGGACACGCAGCCCCCACGCCAGCCCGGAGCTGTGTTGATTTGCCCAAGCAGGAGTTTATTGGCCGGAGCAGGAGCCGCCGGGAGCCGGGGCCCCTCTGGACATTGTGCACGGCCCGGGGGGCTGTGACGCCTCTTCCCGGAGCTCCCAAATCTCAAATCCCCCTTCCCGGGGTTCGCTCCATCGGCCCCGGGTCGGGACAGTGGCACGGAGCTGCCTCCAGGGCTGCTTCCAGCAGGACACAGAACACGGCAGGGGGAGGAAGCCGAGCTGGGACCGTGGTCACCTCGACATTCCGGGGGTCGTTTCCCCATCCTGGGGGTTGTTCCCCCATCCTGAGGGTTGTTTCCCCATTGCCCCATCCCAGGGGTTGTCATCCCATCAAACAGAGGGGTTCAGCTCCAAAGGGGGGGGGGGAAGTCACCCAGAGATTCCCCTGCCCCCCACCTCCAGGCAGTGCTGGGAATGCAAATAAAGCTCTTTCCTTTGGGGGCTGAGGACAAATTCCCCCTCTCTGAGCTCACTCAGCCACCTCTGGCCCATCCCAGTCCAACGGTGGCAGCCGGGATGTGTCTGAGCTGGTCACCCGTGGGGACACGGCCCCTCCTGGCTGGGACTCGGGGTGTTCAATCCCACTGGCATCTCCCTTTGGAAGTGGGCAGGGGGCGAGTGCTGCGGGACTTAGGGTGGGAGCAGAGGATGGTCAGCGGTGCCCTGAGTCCAAAACCACCCCAAGTGCTTCTCCTTCCCAACAGCCCCACTGTCCAGGTGAAAAAAAGAAGGGATTTGAGGCAGCCCAGCCTCAAAACATCCATAAAGGGATAAATCGGCTCGCACAGACAGCAGGGAAAGCTGCTCCTGGTGGGGAAACCACACGGATCCGGGTCCATCCCTGCCAACCTGCAAACAAAGCAGGGCTTCCAGGAGCACGAAACCAAACCCAAGGTACAAAACTCCTGCCCGGGAGCTCGGGAAAAGCCAGGCTGGCTTCTCCCTTCCCCCCGTGGCTGGCTCAGCTCCCCGGGACACCCGAGTCAGGAGATCTCGTTGCCGAAGACCTCGAGCACGAGCGGCGTGAGCTGCATGCTGTGCTCGGGCTGGAAGGACAGGCAGCGGTACTGCCGGGAGTGCTCCTCGTTGAGGCTCCGCAGGTCCGCCAGCTTCTGGATCATCTTGGCGTAGAGCAGGCGGCTCCCCGGGGGCGGGTGCCGGCAGCGGATGTAGGTCTGCAGGATCTCCGAGAGCCTGTCCTGCAGGGATTCCACCAGCGAGGTGTCCTGCACGCCCGGGCGGTCTGGGGAACACCAGGGATCACGGGAGATGCCGAGTTGGAAGGGACCGCCAAGCATCGTCCAGTCCAACCCTCAGTTGTGTGTCCAGTCACCCCATGTGCCCCAGAGGATCATCTGAACACTCTGGAGCTCTGTGCCCACTGCCCTGGGGAGCCTGTTCAGTGCCCACCCACCCTCTGGGGGAAGAACCTTTCCCTGGGGTCCAACCTGACCCTGCCCTGGCACAGCTCCAGAACATTCCCTGGGTGCTGTCCCTGCTCCCCCCAGAGCAGAGCTCAGTCCCTGCTCCTCCTCTGCCCTTCCATGGATATTGAAGCCCCCAGTGAGGTCTCCCCTCAGCCCCCTCTGCCCCAGCTGGACACACCGAGTGCCCTCAGCCCCTCAAGGCCCTTCCCCACCTTCGTTACCCTCCTTTGGACGCTCCAACAGCTCAATATCTTCCCTATACTGCGGTGCCCAAAACCACCCCCAGTATTCAAGGTGACTCCCACCCTTTTTTTTGGGGACACGCCAACCCCTGGCCAGGTCCTACCTGGGGACAGGATGCAGATGGCCATGAGGAGCACGTGCTCTTCCTCGTGAAGGTTCAGCTTCTTCAAGCCAACCTGGAACTTCACGAGCGGCTCGAGCAGGTCCATGCTGTGGCCAGCTGGGAAGAGAACAGACCTTTAGCACGGCTGGCTCTGGAAGAGGATCTCCCATGGAGATTTAAGGTCCTGCTCTGCCACCTGCACCCCCTGGTCTTAACGCTGGCCCTCAAATCCTCAAGTGGAAGAGGTTCAGGGCAGGGTCCAGCACCTTTACTGATGGGTGCAGAGGGAATGGCTTTCCAGGGAAAAACCCATGGGATTTCTGTGCCTGAACTTAAGGCTGGGATGAGATTCCTTAGCAGGGGAGGGTCTGGCAGCCTTACCTTGGGTGACGTCGCTGACCCTGTACTTGAAGTCGTTGCTGCCGCAGGTCCAGCTCATGTCCTCGAGGGTGAAGGACTGGTTGGAGCGCAGCATGATCACCTCGATGGCACTGGACTTCAGCAGGACAATCTGGTCCTCTGCCGACAGGTCCCTGCACCACATGGGGGGGGAGGCTGAGGTGAGACTTGTCCACGAGCAGAGGGACAGAAACCACCACCCCTGTCAGGGTCCCATCGGTCACCCCATCCTGGGGCAGCCCAGCTCTTCCCTCCCCACAGTTCCTGTGTCAGGAGTTCCTGCAGGTGAATTTGTCCACGCCCTGGGCACCAGCCTGGAGTGAAAGAGAACCCGAGGGCCCTTCACAAACCCCTCAGGGTGCAGCAGCCTGAGTTGTTTCGCTGACAGAGTTTGGGTGAATTTTCCAGAGTTTGGAAAGAGAGGAGAGGAGAACCACAGGAAGGAGGAAAGACAGAAAACATCAAAGTAAGAACAGACCTGGGAAGGGGACAGAGCCAAGGGACAGCTGTGGAGGGGAAGCAGAGAACACGATCTGGCTGTGGAGGGCAGGACAGGATTCCCAAGAGTGGAAAACCACCTTGGACGCCAGACCTGGGAGCAAACGTCTCACCTGAATCCCGGGATCATTTTGGCAAAGCCGATCACCTTCTGTATGCTGTAGCTGACCAGGTCAGCCAGGTGTGGGAGCATGGAGAGCTGGGAGAACTCGATGTTCATGGAGGAGCTCTCGTCGTTCTCCTCGGAGAGGACCAGGTTTGAAAACATCCGGGGCTCCACGGACTCTGGAGAGAGGGAGACGCTCAGGGTGCGACGGTGCAACACACCCAGGAGGGTTTTACAGCTAAATGAGCCCCCACAGGAGGTAAAACAAGGGTCTGAAGTGTCAGGTTTAGGTCAAGCTACTGCATTTCTCCCCCTGTCACCCCTGGGGGAGCGAGTGTGATACCTGGGAATGTGCTGAAGGCATCGGAGCCAAAGAGATCAGTGGAATCCTCCTCCGACAGGTCCTGGGTGAGGAGAGAGGAGGACTTTGTTGCCCCCCTGTTGTTGGGGTGGCTTCTCACGGGGGGCTGGAAGAGAAGGGCAGGGCGTGAGGGCCGGGGTCGGGAAGGGGAGATGTGTGGTGGTTGTTCACCTGCTGCCACGAGCAGCGAGGGTTCCGCAGGGGGATTTTTAACTCCTCTCTGAGGGGTGAGAGGGGTTTGGAGCATCGGGGGGCTGCCCACGGGGGCGGGGGCGGCCCGGCCGTACCCGGAACTTGGAGAAGTCGGCGTAGGTGGGGTCGTAGGTTTTGCGATGGGCCTCGAGCAGGATGTCGATGACCCTCTGCTGCTCCTCCGAGAGCTTGGGCTTCAGGCTCTCCTTGAGCGCTTCCTCCTCCTTGCGCTTCAGGATCATCTCCCGCTTCCTCTGCACCTCCTCGTCCGTCAGGATGACTGTGGGGCAGGGGAAGGGGCAGAAACAGGGACTGGAGCAACCCCAGGCTGCGGCAGAGAGTGTCCCCATCGCCTGGATAATCAGTCATTGAACCTGCATCGACCCCACCCCGCTGTCACCTCGGCTGCCGGGTCACGGCTTCCCGCTGTGCCCGGCAGTTTATGGTGCTTTTAGGCAAGGGCTGGGTGAGATAAGGCCACATGAGCACTGCCACACGCCCGCTCTGCTCCCTCGCTGTTTGCTCTGTGCTTTCCAGGTGACAGAAATCCTGATCCCGCCAGACTCGGGTCAGTGGGTTCGCCCAGCTCCAGTGCCCAGCGCAGCTCTGCTCGGCCCCAGCTGCCACCCTGGGTATCCAGCAGCACTTCTGCAGCATCCCCAGGGGAGTTCTAACCTTGTGTTTAAGCTAAGGGCACACATAAACACCCCCCACTCCCAGGGGTGGGTATTTATGGCCTGTGTTAGGGGTGATGGCCCTCAGAAGCAGCCAAGGGTTGGACTCCGAGGCGATACACTAGGATTGTCCCCTTTATTTAGGGAAGGGGAGCAGCCACAGGCAATCTGGGCTCAAATCTTAACTTTATAAAAAAGAGCTTGGAGACCTGAGTGGCCTGAGAGGGCTGAAAGAGAAGAAAAGCACAAGGGAGCTGCACAGATCTCTTGGGTTCAACCTCCATCCCCGTAGCCGCGTCAGCCACTCCCGAAAGCGCTTGGTAACACACATCCACCTAAAAATAGCAATTCCCCTTCCTCAGGCTGTTATTAGCCCTTTCACCAGGGCATTACAGAAAACCCCAAGCGTGTTATCTGATGCCGAGGTGGCTGAGCCTGCCCTGCGTGAGGAGATTTGACTCTGGGCGAGTCGAGGTGGAATTTGGGCCGAGAGGTTGGCGGAGGGCGGAGGGAGCTGCAGCCGTGGGGCTCCGGGCAAGGAGCTGTTTGCCGTCCCTGCTCCTTTAGCCAACGGCATTTTTCCGATCCCTTTTCAAACTTGCACAACCTCAGAGGGCACCAGAAGGTCTCGGAGAGACGGGAATGAGCAGATAGAGCTGAAAGGTCACCTCGGCCGCGGGCGCGTTACGGCGGCTCCGCGGGGCACGGCGCGACTGCTCGGGGAGAGAAATCAAGAGTTTTGCCATCCCCCCTCCCAGTTCTTCGTACAAAAGCATCAGATCCATGTGGGCATGGGGAGAAACTGGTGGGGGAAGCCACGTGTGGGGCTGAGGAGGAGGATGGGGCAAAGCCGAGCCCTTGGCTGTGGCCGCGGTGCTGGAAGTGTCCCGAGGATCGGGGCCTCAGAGGGGATTCTTGCAGGTTACACCAGGCAAATTTGGGATCCTGCAAGGACTAGATGACCTCTATTGGTCTCTCCCAACCCAAACTATTCTATGATCCCAGGAACATTGGGAGGCATCCACAGAGCGGAATGGAAAGATAAGGATGTTTTTATGCTGGGGCAAGACTGCTGAGGAAGTCAGCCTGGGACTTCCCACCCTCTTTTAGGGAATCCAGCCCTCAACCAGGCTGGCAACAGTCTGGCAGTGGCATTTCTCAGCCTGGCAGGAGCTGTTTCTGGTGATTAGCAGCAAACCTGAAACGCTCCGTGCCAGAGGAACCGGCTTTTCCGCAGGACCAGGGATAAGGTGGATGAGGGATGTCAGTGCAGTGACCCTCCTCCACTGCTTTATAAAGTGCTGGGGAAAAGGATTCAGTGCTTATTTGGACTCATGGGAGGATGGGAGTGGGAATACAGGGCTGGGAAGCGGCTCAACACCTGCCCTGAGATCCCAGCTCCCATCCCAGCTCCGAGCTTTCCGAGCGCCGAGCCAGAGCCATCCAGCCACAGACTCCTGGCACAGCCGGCGCCGTGGCTGAGCCTCTGTGGGCTGCCCTGACCCCAAATCCGTGTGGAGGCCGAGATAACATCTGCCCATCACGTCCAGCCAGACACTGGCCCTCTGTGGAGACGCCACAAGGCAGCAGGGAAAGCCACGGCCAACACCCCTGGGACTGTGGAGCACGAGGATACAGGGATACAGGGATACAGGGTGAGGATCCAGCTCTGCACCCCTGGCCAAAACCAGGGGCTTGGAAGTGCTGCAGGATGGGGGGGGGGGCTGGGGGGGCAGCACAAAGGCTCCATCAACCAGGAAAGAGCAGCCAAATATAAAAGAAAAAGGAAGTTTAGGAAACATCTGGGAGTGCCAGAGCCTGGCAGCGGCTCCCGGGCTCGGGAATAACACATCCCATGCTTAGAGCAGCAGGGATGTCTTGGCTTTGAGGGCCACCACCTCTTTGGGAAGTGGAGGAGAGGAGGAGAGGTCGTGTCCCCCCCTGCTCACCCTCACCCTACACAACCATAACCCTTCCTGCTTCCCTGAGCATCTGGGGAAATTCCGGGGAAATTCCTTCCCACTTCTGCTCCTCTCCCTGGCTGTGAGATGCTGGTTTGGTTCTGCTTTTGTTCTCCTCCCCTCTGGGGATTTTCAGCCCTGAGATCATAAATCAAACCTCGTGGGGAGGGTGCTGAGCACCAGCTGCTCGAGGCTCCAGCCACATCCCAGCCAGCCTTTTCCTTGGAAAAGGGATAAGGGGTGCTGAGGGTTGAGTGGCACCACCTTCTCTGGAGAACACGTGAAGACTGAGAACACAGGAGCTGTTAAAGGTTGGGGGAGAAGGGGCAGAGACACTGGAGGCTCCCTGAGGGAGCCCATCCAACACCCCACGGTGTGGATCCAATCCCCGAGGGATGGGTGTCCCTTCCTCAGCTCCAGGCTGCTGGAAAAAGGGCAGTTTTGCAGGGAAGGAGCAATTCCTCCCCCATTTTCTGGCCACCTAAAGCAGTGGCACAGCAGGTGGGATAGTCCAGCCCCAGGCCATCAGCCCAGCTTTACAGCCCATTCAGGCCAGGAATTACCATTATCATCCCAGGAAAAAGCAGCAGGAAGGGAACAGGGCAGCCAGAGGCATCCCCAGGCTGGAGACCTGCCTTCCAGAGCGACAGAGACATTCCCAAACAACACAAACAACAGCCTTGTGGAAGACACCAACCCCCTCAAAAGCTTCAAGATGCCTTATTCCATCTAAAAATAATGGCAGTGTCCGGTGGCAAAGTCCATGGAAGGCTATTTTTAGTCCCGGGGGGTTGGTTTTGGTTAATCCAGTCACGGTTTGCTAACGGGGTCACTTACACGTTAACTCCCGTGCAGAACATGCCTGTCCCTGGCACCTGGAGCAAACAGCTTGGCATCTCTGCCCAGGCACTCTCCAGCCTGCCCTGAGTAATTAGTGCAGGTCAAAAGTCTCCCTCATTAGCTCCGAATGAGCCCCGAACGAGCCGTTCAACCGGCGCCCACCACGGGCTCCTCGTGCTCCCCAAAACTCGGGGGCAGACGGTGCCCTGCGTGGCCTTTCTCTCCCTTTGTTTTAAAAGAATAATATCCAGGGATTTTTCTCTTCATCAGGGATCTTTAGGGCCGTGGAATATTTAGGTGCTGCTTCCCTGCAAACCCCTCCACGTTCCGATTTCCCCGGAGGACCGGGAGGTTTTCGGTGGCACTGTTTGTCCCCTGCTCACCACACGAGGCAAGGAGCACCCCTTCCATTTTCCAGACTCCCAGGTCCATGGACACCCCTGCCCACGGTCTCCCAGCAGGAGCTGTTGTTGGGTTTGAACACTCCGTGACCACCGACCTGCTCCCGAGGAGCCGGGACGTGGAGAGCTCGTGCGACGTAGGAGGGGAGCACGTCAAACACATTTTGTTTTTAAAAGCTGCTTATCCATAAATACAGCCGAGGAAAATAAATATTTGGGCAACATTAGCCTGTTTGGATTGGGTTAAAAACTACTTTACTTCCCTCTGCTGTTTACTTAAGACTCTGCTGTGCACGTGGCTGGATGGACCCACATGGCAGGGCCCCAAAAAAAAAAAAGAGCCCAGAGCTACAGAGGAGGAAAACACAATCCAGCTCTGTTGGGAAGGATAGAACTTTTTAATAATTTTAGTTAATGGTTTTAAATATCTTCTAATTCATTGTTTTAATTAATCATAACCAATAGATATTAATTATGCTATTCTTAAATTACCCTTAGCCAGCGTTTAGCAAAGTTGTCACAAGGTGCTTTTGAGGGAACACAGCTCGGGAGAATTAAGTTCTAATTGAAGTTAATTAAAGTCTTAATTTAAATTAAGGTTTTGATAAACTAACTCTGATTTGCTCCGATGTACAAAGCCTGGGAGGGAAAGATGGATTGTTGAAGTTGGACATCTGGAATGCAGAATTTATGGATCACAAGGACATCTTACAGAAAGCAGAAGATAAAGAAGAGACCAACAAAGACTCAGCCTTCGTGTTGGAAAGTCCCTACCGGTGGAAAAAAAGATACTAAAATGACTAAAAGTGTGGATTAATTAACATAAACAGTGAGAAATCAATAACCAATAGATAGAACACTAATTAGTGAACGGGAACTCTGTAATTCAGAACCAACAAACATTAATTTCTTTGCTCAGACACAGGACACAAAGGGTAAGGAAAAACACAAGTCCACTGGAATTTGCAGGACTGCCCCTCTGAGAGAGAACTGATGGGGGAAAATAACCACAAATATCAGTCTCAAAAACACCTACTTTCTGCTCCGAGCAGAGAGGATACAGGAAACTTTCTGCCCCAATCCAAAACACGCAGAAAAATGTCTTTGTGTAGTAACTGATAAAAACATCGATATATTTTAGGTATGGATACAATCTTTAGGTGTCAGGAGGTGTTTTTTTTTCTGTCTAAACCCCACAATCAAACCCAAACTCACGCCCAAAATTTAACCAGCAGATTTACCATCACCCCCCTGGCACGCAGAGGGAGGCCCTCGAGCACGACCCAAGGAATCCAAGACGCAACAGAATCAACCAGTGTGCCCAGGCATCGACCACAAACCTCCCTGGACACTCTCACAAAAAGCTGATGCCCCTCGAGAGCCGGGAAAAGCCACTTGGCCTTGGGAAAAGCAGCTCCTGGATCACTCCAGTGCCCACAGGGATCATTAAACGAGCTCCTCTCAGATGATTAACCCACCACATCCGCTGCCCTTTGCATCCCCCTCGAGTCCCGGGAGGGTGTCCAGGTTTTGTGCTGCCCTTCCCAGCCCTGGGGACGGAGAGGGAGCTGGGCATGGCCAGCTGGAGCTGGGATGTGCCCCGGGGTCGTACTCACACTCCTTCATCATGCCGATGTCCACGCAGCGCTTGAGCCGGCACGCCTGGCAGTGCCGCCGGTTGTCCTTGGTGATCTTGCAGTCCCCGTTGAAGGGGCAGGTGAACATGGCCTTCCTCTTCATGCTTCTCCTGGGGAGGGGCAGAAAAACACCCAGTCAGCCCCGGTTTGGCTCTCCAAGAGGCCGCTCCAAACCTCGGGAGGAGATGGGAGGACGAACGCGGCTCCCGGACGGCAAAATGCTGCCGAGGGGTGCTGGGGGTGGTGGGGGTGTCTCTGACCTGGCTGTGTTCAGCTGGAGAAGGTCAAGAGAAGACCCTGAGATGAGCTCAGCTGGGTAGAGCCCAGTGCTAACAACACCAAAGGTGTGGGGCCAACCCCACTACGGGTCATTCCCTTAAAAGCTGGACTTGATGGTTCTTGTGGGGCCCGTCCAGCTGGGAACACTCTGGGATTCTGTGAAGTTGGAGAGGCTGCACATGTTTGGGTGCATCTACAGCTTTGAGCTGGAGGTTCAGGCACTGCTGGACAGTGTGGAGAAGGAGAACTTCTTACAAGGACACAGCCAAGGGGTTCAACCACAGGTTAATCCCAGAATGGTTTGGGTGGGAAGGGACCTTAAAGCCCATCTTGTTCCAACAGGGACACCTTCCACTAGACCAGGTTGCTCCAAGCCCTGTCCAACCTGGCAGGTAAAGCAGCTTTCTGGATCTGCACAGGTATTTTGAAGGCCATGAGATGGGTGGAAGGATTGCAGAGAAACCCCCCCAGCAACAAAAGAGAGCAGAGTGGGGGCCGTGTTATTAAACATTTACCCACCTTTAAGCCTGGCTTTGCTGGAATAACTGGCTGGAGCACATGTTTGTGTGTGCAGGAGAAAGAAATCTCACTGCAGGATACAAGAGAAACAACACTTAAAATAACAAGCCTCTCTTCCACCAAAACCACACTGTGCCATGTTCACCCACCGCTGCAATCGGGGCTGTAAATCTTCCAAGGACAAAGGGTCAAAGAGGCAAAGCCAAAAAAAATCTTCCAAGGCAAAGGGTCAAAGGGTCAGAGCCAGAATCTTCCAAGGCAAAGGGGCAAAGCCAGAGCTCCCAGGAGGGCCTTGCAGCAGGGTGAGAGGCTCTAAAATGGCACTTTCCAGGCAGAGCTGAGCTGCTCCATCCAAAGGGCAGATTCTCCGTTGCCTCTGGAGATGTCACTTGGCCTTGGATAAAGTTCCTCAGTGAGGAAAGCTCCTCTCTCCGTTTGGGAAGGTTTCTAAAGGTGCCTGGGTTTAAATGAGGTGATTTGGAACGGAGGCAAACCAAGCCCTGGGTGCTGCCAGGCTGGAAAGGCAAAGTGGGGATGTTCCCAGGGGCAGAACAGGACAGAGATGCAGCTCCAGGAGAGCTGGAGAGACTTTGGACAAGGGCCTGGAGGGACAGGACAAGGGGGAATGGCTTCCCCACTGCCAGAGGGCAGCGTTAGATGGGGTACTGGGAAAGAAATTCCTCCCTGTGAGGGTGGGGAGGCCCTGGAATAGATTTCCCAAAGGATGCCCCATCCCTGGAAGCGTCCAAGGCCAGGGTGGACGGGGCTTGGAGCAAGCTGGGATGGTGGAAGGTGTCCCTGGCCACGGCAGAGGGGTAGGACGAGATGAGCTTTGAGCTCCCTCCCATCCCAAACCGCTCTGGGATTCCATGAATCCCCAAATCTGCCACCAAGTCAACGCTGAGCTCAGCACGAGGATGAGGAGTGTCCTGCCACAAAGAGCCCCTCCTGGGGCACTAAAACCCCTCTGCAAGACTGAGCTGACGGGGCACAACCCCTGCACCAAAGGGGAGGCACTAAGGGGACCCCCAGCCCTGACCAGCCCCATGCAGGGAGGGTATAAATAATATAAATATAAATATAAATATAAATATAAATATAAATATAAATATAAATATAAATATAAATATAAATATAAAATATGTCCTCGGGCTGCAGAGCCAGCAGCATGCAATTAGAGGCTATTTTAGAAAGGGAGAAGCCGACAAAGAAGCTTTGCTCTCCCTTTACCTGACATGAATAAACGCTTGTAGGAAAATTAATAGAGGAGAGGGGGCTGGCAGAGCCCTCCCTGACTCACCTCACACCACGAAATCCCTGTTTCACCCAGCCACTGGCTCTCAATTTGGCAAACTTCAGCTTTTCCCCGGGGTTTCCCCTTTTTCCAAGATCAGCAGGACATCTGCTGCCCCAAGAACGGGGACAAACACGGCTCAGCTTGAGGGCAAGTCAGGATTTGGAGCTGAACGCCCCAAAAATCACCCACTTTGAGCGAAATAACTCGTGTTTATGAGCCTCTGGGGCCAGCAGGCAGCTCATCTTTTCCCCCACAGCCCAGGGCAAGGCTGGGGAATGCACAAACAAGCCGGAGAAACACGAGGCCCTCGGGCAGGGAAAGATGTCCCGCGTCCAAGGGCAAGCCAACATTATGGGTTTGGAATGAAAATTGCAGTTTACGCGAGCCCAGGGCACAGGAGCTGCTTTGCTGCCCCTCCAAGGTCCCGGCTGGTGGCTCCCAGGGGCCCCCAGTGACACCAGCAGGGCTGGGGAGGGGCAGCCGGACCCACAGCGGGAGCTCACGACGTCTGGCTCCCGTGTGTGTTTTTATAAAGCTCCAGAACCGGCCATTTCGAGGCTCATTCAAGAATCCCAGGCTGCTAAAAATAACGAGGCTCCCTCCCTGCTCCACGCCAGCCCGAGGGTGGGAGCCAGCTCGCCCGGGGCTGAGGGGTTGGCACAGCTCCGAGGCCGTGGGGGCTGCTCCTGGGGGTGGGAGATGGGGACAGAGCTCCCAAGGTCACCCCTCGGCGCTGTCGAGGGCAGGGGAACTCCCTGGAGCTCTCGGGATGCCCACCTTGGGGGCAGAAAGTGGGGAAAACCTGCAGGAGGAACCAGGGAAGCCGCGGAAGCCTCAGCCAAGGGGCCGTGGAATAAATCCCTCTGGCTCAGGTGCTGCTTCAGAGCTCCTGAGCAAACAGCAGAGCCCAATAAAAGGTCCCTGTTGCCCTTGGCATCATCAGTCAACTGGACTTTGAAGCCAGCAGAGCCGACAGCCTGTTGGTGCCCAGGGCTACGTGGGCCTGGAGGTGCCAATAAAGTCCTAATTAACGGGGTCATTAAACCCAGGACCTCCTGGGGGACTTTGAGCAGGGGGAAACCGTGTCCCAGGTATGTCCCCAAGGGAGGTGAGAGCCACCAGGGGGGTCCTGCAGCAGTTCTGCTGCCACCCCCACGAGCCAAGGCTCAGGTCCTGTCCCTCCACCACCCGCACGAGGCTCCAGGCACGGCAGAACCAGTCCCAGCCCGGCCCAGGGAGGGAGAGAGTCACCCCACAGCCAGAGTTCACCCAGCAAAAGCTGGGAGACAGCCCCTGGGTTCAATATTCCCACGATATTCCCAGCTGCTCACCCTCTTCCAGCCCTGGGAGTGCCCAGAAATCGATACCAGGGCAGAGGTTTTCTCAAAGATCCACGAGCTGGGAGTTGAAAACCAGCGAGTGGACGCAGTGTGTTATAAACCCCGAGGCAGCAAAGGGAGGCACAGCTTCCCTGGGGCAGTTTTAGTGCCCAGGCTCTCCCAGCAGCAGAAAGCACTTCAATGCTGTGGCACCAGCAAGAATTAATTAATTCAGGGGTTGAAAAAGGCGTGTAAAGATGCCAGTGTAAACAAGAGGGGAACGCACCAAGACCTGGCTTGGGGAGAGCGTGCCTGGAAAGCAAGATTAAAAAGTAGCAAGAGCCTTAAATTGAAAATAAAGGCTTTGATTGGGGGCATGAAGGGCTGGCTAGGGAGGAGAGCTTGGCACACAACGGTGTCTGCTCAGAAATACTGTCCCAGGTGAGGGTCCTGCACGATTCCAGGGGTGTGACAACAGAGATGGGGCTCGGGGGGCACAAGAGCCATGTCATTCTCAGGAAAGGGGCACTGGCCATTCCAGGGGCCAAAAGCCAGCCTGTTGTCACCACAGGGATGGGGAAGGTGGCAGGGAGAGCAGAGCAGAGCAGGGGAGAGCACCTGAAAGAAGAGTTTAGCAGCAGGAATTGGGGAAAGTGTTGTGGTGACCTGGCTGGTGGCTTCAGAGCCACCGTGGCTGAGAACAGGTCACGGAAAACTGTGGTCTGTGAAAACCCCCAAATTCCTGCCAGAGGAGGAGTTATGGCTTTGCTGCAGAAGTTCAAGCCCTGCAAGAGCCCAGCTCAAAGGTGTAAACCGGGCCTTGCTGGTGCAGAACACTTGAGCAAGGCCCTTCCCAGCCCATCCCACGCCATCATCATCATCATCATCATCATCATCAGGTGCCTTCATTTCACCAGCAATTAGTCATTCTCTCGCTTGATGCAAGTGCCCTGGACTGCCATGAGGATGGGTCAGTCCTGGAGCATCGCTGGGACAGGGGTCAAACTGACCTTCACCAAAATGCTGCCTCCTCTTCTCCAGCTGAACACACCAAGTGCCCTCAGCCCCTCCCCTCAGGGCCCTTCCCCACCCTCGTGGCCTCCTTTCA